GCAAATCATCAGTCAGTTCAATAGAGTCATTCTCTTCACTCATTACAACTTGAAACCCGCCGGAAAAGTCTTCATCATTATTGGTTATGTTTGTGTCATCAGTATTTTCTCGTCACTTTCTCTGTTATTGCATATTACTTTCAAGTTTTTTTTGCAAAAATTGACAATTTTTTTGTACAAATTATCTTGAATACCTAGTTGAATACCATGCCTAATGCACAACTGTTGATCACAGTTACTTAAACGCCCCACTTTCTACATTACCGAAACTTTTCATATTTACGTTAGTGCAAAATTCAAACATGCGTTCTACATTAAAGCGAGTGACGTAATGGTAATATTTTAAATTGGAGCTTCATTATTTAATGAAAACACGAAAGTAAATGGAATACTTAAAACTTCCAGTCACGATCAAACAACGCTTCCGGTAAGAAAAAGATAGCTAGATGACAAAAGACGTCTTTAAATTGTCTAAAACAAGTATTCTACGTATTTTATACGTCTTAAACGCTAGCTGTTCGTTGGCTAGTTGCTAGCTCATTTCCTACCAAACCTAGTGGGAAATGAGCTGGCAACTAGATATTAAGTATAAAGTACGTAGAATACTTGTTTTAGACAATTTAAACACGTCTTTTCTCATCTTTTTCCTACCGGAAGCGTTGTTGAAAGTTTTAAGTATTTCATTTACTTTAGTGTTTCACGTAAAGAGGGCGATAGCACCTGCTATATCATAAGCCCTCTACATATATTTTTAATACCGGTATTGAGACAAACCAATACCGGTATTTCAATACTTAAAAATGTCCGGTAATACCGGTATTCCGGTACCGGTACTACCGGTATTGGAAGCACTAGTCCTAATGGAGGATAGTCGGAACAACAACAAAAAAAAGGGCCCTATTTTTTAGGTTAAACAACTATTTCATTTGATCATTTACAATGTTTATATAGTGGCAAATATATACAGTACAATCTCTCTAATTCGAACAAAAATGGGGAAAATAAAAAATCGAATTAGAGTGATTTTAGAATTACAGAAAGTTTTTTTCACATAAGGGTATTTCACGGTGACTCTGCATTTAATCGATTTATGGAGGTTTTCAAATTAAGGAGATTCGAATTAGAGAGGTTATACGGTATATATATTAAATGTGTGTATAACTTTAAAACAGCATTTTTTTAAATTTTCCTTTTTTTTTTTAATGTTTATTAATAAAAATGTAAAGTTTGATAGTTCTTTGGGGGCTAATCCCCACCCCCTCCTTTGTATTCGCCAGTCAATACAATCATCATTGTATGCATGTCAATACATGCATCATTTTGTTAGGTTTACCGAATTTGAAAAAATAAGCAAACGTTGATACGAAGTTTTAATATTATAAATAAATAAAAAACACCTATATCATAATTTTAATTTTCAAAAAGGGCCCCTTCAAATTCCTAGGCCCCCCCAACCGGGGGGTTTGGGGGGCTTTTGGCACGGCACTGAATAGCTAATATAGCTATGAATAAATCAAAAGTAAATAGATTTAAACAGTTTTTATCTAACACATATCTAGTTTTATACACTATTTCCTATAGATTTTGAAATTTTTGAAGAAGAATATCATGGTCCACCGTATCAAAGGCCTTTGAGAGGTCAATAAACACTTCAAGAGTTTATTGGCTTTTTTCAAACCCATTTAATATTTCTTTAACTAATTTAATTACTGCATGTTCTACCGAGTTCCCTTTTCTATATCCGTACTGATTATTATTTAGAACTTAGAGAGTTGTGAGATAGTTGTAAAACCTATTACGCATTATTCGCTCTAGAATTTTAGAAACACATAGGAGTATTGAAATAGGTCTATAATTAGATAACTTTAAGATATCTTTAAATATTGGAACCACTCTAGCTAGTTTTAAGAGATCAGGAAAAACTCAATTTTTAAATTAAAGATTAAAAACAGTAAGTATGGGGTACTCAATAATAACAAAAACTTCTTTAACAACCCTAGGGCTTATACCATCAAGACCTGCGCTTTTGTTTGGTTTTCTCATATTAAAAGCAAACCGAAGTTCATCACGCGATACTTGAAGCTCATCCATTACATAGTCCACTTATTTTAGTTAAGATTAAGAATTTTCTTTTCCTGGTGTTATTTTGTTTGCTAGGTTTTTACCCACGTTTATAAAAAAGTTATTGAAACCGTTTGCAATAACTTTTTTCTTATTTATTATTGTTCTTTCATTCTCAGTATATAAATATTTCGGTAAAGTATTACCACGAGTTTTCTTTTCTTTTCCTATCACTTCCTTTATAACGACTTGGATTTTTCCATTGCAGACATTATTAATAAACTTACCAATCTAAACCCTTACAAATCTTTTGGACCTGACGGGTTGCACCCTTAAATACTTAAGATATGTGCCAAAAGTTTCGCACTTCCGCTTACAAAAATCTTCTATGAATCTTTCAATTCTGGAATAATACCAACTCTCTGAAAATTAGCAAATATTAGTCCGATCTATAAAAAAAAGGGAGACAAACTACTTCCTGAAATCGCTCTATTTCACTTACCTCTGTTGCGTGCAAAATATTTGAAAAAGTTGTAAAGAATAAAATCTTGAAGCACATCAATAATAATAATCTGCTCTCTACAAACCAACATGGCTTCCTTCATCATAAGTCTTGTGTAACCAATCTAATAGAGACTTTTGATATTATTTTGATTTCCTTAGCATCGCACCAGTTTATAAATGTAATCTACCTCAACTTTGCTAAAGCTTTTGATTCCATACCTCACACCAGACTCATGGTAAAATTAAAATCATTCGGAATAAACGGCAAACTACTACAATGGATTAATTCCTTCTTAGTAAGCAGAAAGCAACGTGTTACAATTAACAATACTAGCTCTGACTGGGTTGATGTTCTTAGTGGTGTTCCTCAAAGTTCTGTTCTCGGCCCGCTCCTCTTTATTCTTTTTACAAGCGATCTTGCCCAACTTACAAAAACTTCTGAAGTATTTGCAGACGATACTAAACTTTTTTCTAAAACTTCATCGCAGACTAATTTCGTTGATCTGCAGGACCGTCTACGCTTAGTATACGAGTGGTCAAACACTTGGTTACTTAAATTAAACATTTCAAAATGCTGTGTTATCCATTATGGTAAAACCAATCCTATGTATAGCTACTTTTTAAAAAATAACCAAGGTATAAATGAAAGCCTAAGAAGCTCTGTTAAAGAGCGCAATTTAGAAGTCATTTTTAAATCTAACCTCAAGTGGAGTACACATATTCAATCAGTTGTCTCCAAATCTTTACAAATTCTTGGTATGCTAAAAAGGACATTCACCATTGTTGATGAAAAAATGGCTCTCAAATTATATAAAGTGTTTATTAGACCACACCTGGAATATGCAGTGTCTGTTTGGGCCCCGTATTTAAAAACTGACGTAGCTTTGGTTGAATCTGTTCAACGTAAAGCAACACAATGGGCTTTAAACTTGAGAAATCTACAATACTATGAAAGACTTAAAAGACTAAACTTACCATCACTCGAGTTTCGGCGCCTACGATGCGATCTAATACAAACTTTTAAACTTAATACATCGATTTGATATAATTAATAATATATACCAACCAAAATTTATTAACTATTATTTATTAACAAAATTTATTGTCACGTGGTCACCATCTTAAAATAAGACGTGAATATGTTCCAAACTGTCTTCCAAGACACAACCAATTATATAATAGATCAGCAAAATACTGGAATGAACTACCCGATCAAGTAACTTTATACTCCACTGTACTTTCTTTTGAAATTAGATTAGATAACTGGTTGAGGATAAAATTCGGAACGAATATTTATAAAACTGGTTGTTTATAGTAGGGTGTTTTTCCTGCTCGCTGTATGTGTATATGGTATGTATATTTTACGGCTACAACTATAATAGTAATAATATATTTATTATATCCCAAGTTTTTTTGTTACTTCCGATATTATTTTGCAATAAATTTGAGAAATAATACTTTTGAGCTTTTTTTTTCAAGTTTTCGAACAGGTTTTTGTAAAGTTTATATATTTTTTTCGTTTTGATAAGTTTATTTTTAAGTATTTTTTTATAGAGTTTTTGTTTTTATCTTAAAAGATTTGATAAGTCCTTTCGTATATACGAGCGTGAATGTGATTGCAACCATTCACTTCTTAACTTTTTTTAATCTTAATATTTTTTTCTCAATTATTTTACATTAAATAACTCGGCGAGCTTAATATATAGATTAACAAAAACTAAAAGTATATATATTTTTGAATAATTTATTTATTTACTCAATTATATAAATATTCTAAGGTAAAGAATAGTTTTTTTGTTGTTGTTGTTTTGTTTTTTAGTTAATCCCTATTTAATTATATTTTTAGAAAATTATAACGGTACTTAAAAATGATTGAATCTTTTGATTTTATATTACACGGTTTTTATAAGCTATGTATCTTAAGGTATATACTATGGGGTTTAGTGTTACGACAACTATGGTCTTTTTGCACCGGTCATGTAGATCTTTTATTCATGTACTTTGTAATTGTAAATATTCTTTAATGGCGAAATATATAAATAAAACAAAAAAATGTGACGCAGCTGTTACCTGCTTTTTTTTTTTTTTGCGCTGTTATTTTTATTTAACTTGAAGCGCTAATTAATTATTTTATGACAAAGATAAATTATTGTAAAGTGTCAAACTTTAAAATTCAGTTCGAAAGGTAGAGGACTCTTTGAGCTTTTAACCATCAGTATGTAAGCAAAATAAGATTTTAATATTTTTTAATATCCTATCCCGACAGGCATTTGTTTTTAAAAGTTACGTTCTAAATGTGTTTTAAACGTCTTTTAAACGTCTTTTAAACATTAATGTTTAAAAGACGTTTAAAAGACATTTAAAACACATTTAGATCGTAACTTTTAAAAACAAATGCCCGTCGGGATCATATATTTATTTAAAAATCAGAAAAATAAAAACTAAATTTTAAAAAATTTAACGAAAAAATATAACAGTCATAGACAATTTATTTCATATTTTCGATTACGACAGCAATTCCTTGACCTCCTCCAATACAAGCTGAACCAATTGCATAGCGTTGTTGTTTTCTTTGTAATGCGTAAATCAAATGTGTTAAAATACGCGCACCAGAGGTCCCAAGTGGATGTCCTAGTGCAATAGCCCCACCATCTGAATTAGTAATTGATCTATCTAGGCCAAGTTCTTTTTCAACCGAAAGATATTGTGCAGCAAAAGCTTCATTAACCTTAATCCAAATAAAGTTATTTAATCTTTTAGATAAAATTATGCTAACATAATAAAATAAAAATTATGCTAACATAATAAAATGAAAATTATGCTAACATAATAAAATAAAAATTATGCTAATATAATAAAGTAAAAAAAATGCTAACATATAAAATAAAAATTATGCTAACATCATATATGCTAACATAATAAAATAAAAATTATGCTAACATTTAAAAATAAAAATTAACATTAAATTTATCTACCATTCTTATTATAAAGCTGATATATATATAATATTGGTAATAACATGAAATTTTTTGATGAAAAAGAAAAAAATATTCTTTTTGAAAACAAAGGTTTGAAGGTTTGAAAACAAATGAAGGCTTTTTTGTACCTCAACTAAAGCCATATCGTTAAGTGACAATCCAGCTTTTTTGAGAGCAATTCGAATAGCTGAACATGGTCCAATGCCCATAATACTTGGTTCAACTCCAGATACGCCATAAGAAACTACACGCGCAAGTGGTTTCAAATTATGTTTTTTACATGCATCTTCTGATGCAACTAATAATGATGCAGCGCCATCGCATATTCCCTATATTTAGAAATATTACCTTTAGCATTAAAAAAAACAACAATTAGAATTAAAAATAACAAGACACATTTGTAGCCCCAAGAGACATATAAGGTAAATATACACCATTAGGTACAGAGATTTTAGTATACTTTAGATAGGTACAGAAATTTAAGTATACTTTAGATTGCTCGGAGTACTGATTTCCGATTTTTTAAAAAAGATAAAAATAAGGAATACTAAAAGAACAAAAGTACTTTTTGCTGTTATTTTTATTCTACAAATATAATGCCTGTCCAAACTCTTGATTTGTCCAGAAATGTATGGCTATTTTCAGTGGTAATGCTTACACACACAGATGAGATGAGAACATGTCATGAGAACAAAAGTGGTATAAGCAACATATTAAAACAATGGAGAAAATAGTAAAAATAAAATTCCGTAGTTTTTTAATTGAATTATCTTACTTGTTTTTGAATTCATAGCAGCTTTTCAGTTTTAACCATCTATTAAGACATTTCTTTAAGTTTTTTATTTTATATTTTATTACACATTTTGTAAATTTGTGGGTTACACCACTTTTGTTCTCATGGCCTCATATATATGTATGTATGTATGTATGTATGTATGTATGTATGTATGTATGTATGTATGTATGTATGTATGTATGTATGTATGTATGTATGTATGTATGTATGTATGTATGTATGTATGTATGTATATATATATATATATATATATATATATATATATATATATATATATATATATATATATATATATATATATATACATCCATACTTACAAAAATGAGTTGCCAGTTAAAATATTTGAAATTTTGTGATATCTTAAGTATTGTATAATCTCAAGTATTGTTTTAGGATTTGTGTAAATTAATTGCTTTTCATACCTATTGAATTTTACACAATTGATCTAATGATGCATAAAATTGACTGCAAAAAAATAATTGTACAGTTCAAAAATAATGTCAAATTGATCAAACTTCATGGAAATTAGTACCAAGTAGGACCTCCTTTGGCCTTGATGGTTTCAGCTAGACAATTTGTCATTGAGTTGACAAAATTTTGAGTCTCTTCTGTTGTTATATTATCCCATGAGCTCATTATAACTTCTTTCAAGTTGTTTATGCGTCTAAATGCTCAGTCACCAATTTTTCTGTCTAAAATTTACCACAAATTTTCTATAGGATTCAAGTTAGGACTTTGAGATGGCCATTCCAAAACATTGATGTTATTTGAGTCAAAGTATAACTTCATTTTCTTAGCGGTATGTTTTGGATCGTTATCCTGTTGTAGTATAAAATCGTTTCCCATTCTTAATTTTTTAGTAAATGGTCGCAAGTTGGCTTTGAGAATTTCACAATACATTAAAGTATTCATTTTTTAATTAATAAATGTCAATTTCCCCACTCCTTTCCAACTCATACTACCCCAAACCATCATTTCCTCCTCCATGCTTTATACTACCTCACAAACAACTTAATTTATAAGCTTCTTTTTTTTGCCACACTTTCTGAACTGCAAATGATGAGATGAGGTTGTATTTTGACTCATTTGACCACAAAATTTTTTTCGAATATAATATCTGCATTTTTTCATACTTCTTTGCAAATTCTAATCAACGTTTCATTTGTTTTGCAGTTAAAAAAGGTTTTTTTAACTGCAAAACAAATTTTTTAACTACTCTACCTCCATATCCTTGTTCTCTAATACGATTTCTAATTGTTTGAGATGTTACTGTGATATTGTGATCTTCTTGAACCTTTAAAGCTAATTTAGCTGCTGAAACAAATCTATTTTTCTTCACATTAATGATGATATTTCAATTAATTGCACTGATGGTCTTGCGTTTTTGTCCTTTGCCAACCACACTAGCAAATAATTCACCAATACACAAATAAATTCTTAAAACAATACTTGATAAAATATCTAAAAATAAATTTCAAATATTTTAATGGACAACTCATTTTTTTGATGCAAACTTTAAAATTATGATTTTTTTAAGTGCACTTTTTTTTTTGCATACTATATATATATATATATATATATATATATATATATATATATATATATATATATATATATATATATATATATATATATATATATATATATATATATATATATATATATATATATATAAAATATATATATATATATATATATATATATATATATATATATATATATATATATATATATATATATATATATATATATATATATATATATATATATATTAGGGTGGGTCAATAATTTTTTTTTTCTTGTTACAGGCTCTAAACATTGCTAGAAAGTTGTTTTTTTATGTACTAATTTAGGAAAGTATTTACTTTTATGGATTGAACAATGTCTTCCACCCGCAACTATAATTACAAAAATTAGCAGGCCCTATTATTATTCAAAAAAAAAGTTTTTCATATTATTTGATGTAGGTACTCAAATAAAGCGAAATTTTATAAAAATTTCAAAAATAATAATTTTTTCATATAAAAATTATTATTTTAGATTTTATTGCATAATAACTATAGTTTTTTAACTAAAAGTGAAAAAGGTGCATTTTTACATGTTTTTTAATAACAATTTTTTTCAGCAATATGATTTTAATAAAACGATTATTATTTTCGAGTTTTTTATAAAAACTTGCTTCCTTTGAGTACCAGGTTGACCTACTTTTGAAAAACTTTTTTTCTCCAAAATAATAGGGTACCGGTAATTTTTCCAATAACAATAACAAGTACAATAAATAATAAAATAAACTTACTGAAGCATTTCCTGCTGATACTGTACCATTTTTTTTAAATACAGGTGGAAGTTTTTGAAGTTTTTCTAATGTAACATCAGGCCTTGGATGTTCATCTGTATCAATAGTTACAACTTTATTCTTTATCTTAACCTCTACTTGTGCTATTTCATTTGCAAAATACCCATTTTTATGAGCTATATTTATTTGAAAAAAAAGTCAATGATTACTAATTTTTCTTATATAAATAAAATAGAAAAGAAGATGAACCTATCAAAAAGAATTTAAAACAGAAAGAGAAAAAAATATGCTAATTAATCTTAACCATTTGCCCATCTCTGTTGAGATGCAAGAGCAAACTCATCACAATCCTGTCTAGTGATGTTGAACTTTTCAGCCAAATTTTCTGCTGTTATACCCATAGGTAAGTTACAATATGAATCAGTCAGGCCTGACCACAAAGTATCTTCCATCTAAAAGATCGAAACAAAACAATTTTTTAATAAAAAAAACTTTTTAATAAGTTTGTTATTTAGAAATTTTCATATTTTTTTATAGGGGAAGTGGGGACATAACTGCATATGGAGGCACAACCGTTTTTTAACATTTCCTTTTGAAATATGTTATCTAATATGGCAAAAAATATACCACGCATTATCAAAACAGTTTCCTTCATCTCGCTTATGTCAAAAAGAGTGCTTGTTATGTTTCTGAGAAGTTGTGCATAATAATGTTTATTTTAATAAAAAATTTATATTTACATCATATTTTTCCAAACATTTTTTTTTGAGGATTAAGCAATATTTGATTTTAGTGTTTAAGATATATGTTATCAGCATTATTTAATCAGGTGAAAACCATTTTTGATATGAACATAACCTAATAAACAAGCTATGAAATTGTAATTTTTCTAAAAACTGTCCTAAGAGTATATCAAATGCTAAGAGCATATTGAATGAGAAAATTCAGACTGAAAGTACAAAGAATGCCTACACAGTAAATATCAGCAATAAAATATAATCAATAAAATCAGCAAATAATCTAAGCTGTGACAGTTGTAAAGAAAATCTACTAAGAAAAGTGTAGCCCAACAATTTTTGTGAGGGTGCAGTTGTACCTCACAATAAGGGCAAAACCGTTTTTTTCACTAAGTGTAATTTTTGTGTAATAAGACTTTTAAAAACCCTTTAATTTTTTTCTTAATTGCATCAATTTAAAGTTTAATGATGTGGTTATTGAAAAAAACTGTTATAAAACAAATTTTGTTTTTATTTTCATAAAATATTAATCCAAACGTTATGGGGGCGGTTATGCCCCCACTTCCTCTATCCCTAAAATTTAATTTAATAAGTAAATATTTTCATAAGTTGTATTTTTTAATTTTATTTAATAATTAGGTAACATAAATAATTCAAAACTATAATTACATAGTGAGGACTTTAAAATGCATAAAAATTTTGTTACATAAACATAAAATCAATATCAAGATCCTCATGTATCCTCATGACAATACCAACATTAGGTCAGTATAAGGTAGTACCTGACTTTTTAATATTTGTTAAAAAAAAACTCTTTCAAAGTTGTTAAAAAAGAAAACTCTATCACACCTCATTGCAGCAATACACCTTATCTACTGATGCCACAACTCTTGCAATATTTGAAATAACATGCATTTGTACAAACTTATATTTTTAAAACTGTATTTAACAATTGAAAAAGTATTTAAAAACAAGAGTGCAAATGGCATGAGAATTTTCAGGGATTTGGTATCCCTGGCACCAAATCCTGATCGTAAAGTTTCACTTTTGGCAATGGTATAAAAGCTGATTCCATTAATAGCTGTTGATCGACTCTTTCATACAGAAAGTTTTATGGTCATTATTAAAAAAAAACAGCATGGGAGTTTCTTTTTAGTTTATTTTGTGGTTTGCTATTAATAGCGGTTGTTGGTTAAACCAGGCATTTTAAGAACAATTTTACAGTTTAAAACTTGTAACTCTGTAATTCTATGGAAAGATCAAAATAGAACAGATCTTCTAGTTGTGCTTATATCTTTAAACTATTGTTTAAAACAATAATTGTTTATTTGTTTTAAAACTTTTATTAGCTCACTATTATAACTTTTTTTATGGGATTACTTTTTACCATGGGATTCAACAATTAAAAATATGTAACGCACATAATTGCTTTAAAAGAATGAAAATTTAAATTAATTAAACAAATTCAAATTAACAAGCAATTATTCTAAACTAACAAATTAACAATAATTATTCTTAACTAACAAATTGACAAGCATTTATTCTAAAGCATATATTTACAAATTCAGTTTGAAGTTTAAATTTTAAAAATGTTACTTTATTTGTCACAACAAAAATTAAGAAAAATAAAAAACTGTCTTTAAAAGTCACAATTCAAAAAGGTTGTGGTTTAACAGTTAAAAAACAATAAAAAATAACTAAATTTTAATATATATCCATGTTCAAACTTTTAAAAAAAAAAAATTTGAATTTGAACTTTTTTGAAAATGACAAAAGATTGAACTATTGAACTTGAATATGTTCCTACTGGAAGCCCTAATCTTAAATTGACCATTTTAAATAATTAAGTAAATATCCTACACAATACAACTCCTGTCCACAGATATTAATGGTTTATTATTTTTATGGTTGCTTTATTATTTTTATGGTTACTATAGTTACTTTATACTTATTTTTTACTTGAATTACTTAACCAATTTATTCTTTTAAATTATTTAATATTATTAATAAAAAATTTATGACACAATATATTTACAAAACTTCTGAAAAAAAATCCTGATTTAAACAACAAAAAAAGACAAAGAAATAAAATAATTAATAGACTTAAATAAAACTTATTAGAAAACAAAATAAAATTTACAGGCAAACATAGATTAAAAAAAATAGTGCAATAATGTAGTCTGTCTTAGGAACTTATAATAATCCCTAATTTTTGCTAAACTTTAAATCATGGCTACATCTATAAAAAACCTACTTAAGCTTGCAAACACCTTAAAAAATTTAGACCATTTACCTAAATTGTGATTGGCAAGGTTTGATATACATAACAAATTATACAAATATATATAACAGACATACAACCTACCCCACATTTACAAGACCCCAAAAAAACACATATTTGCAAGTAAGGCACAGAAAAGTAGTTTGAGCGCAAACTTATGATGCAGTTCAAATTTTCAAAACTTCTAACTCATATTCATTTGAAGGAAAAAATACTTTTGTTGTCATATTTGATTGCATCATCAGTGGTTTGTTTCTACCATCCAGGGTCGCAAAAAAAAATGTATTTAAAAAAAAACAACTAAAAACCATGTTTTTTTTGGTTTAAACACTTTTTTTTTTAAATATGCTGTGTTTAGAAAACTTTTTCAATTAAAAAAAGCATCAGTCATTTTATTTGAGTAAATTATATTTTCTATTAACATTCCTGCTGTAATTCATCAACCAATACATTTAATGTTCAGTATATTAAAACAAACTTTGCTGTGTAACATGCTTGCTCATATTTTCAATGATAAGATTGTTTGCTAAAAGATTTAGCATACGACCAACACACACATGAGTAATTATACAGATACCTTTTTCAGATGATAATACTTGTGGCATTGATTTCATATTAGGTGCATTATCAGTCACAAAGATTTTTACTGTTTACTTTTTACTTAGCATCCAAATTTATGTGTTACAGATTATTGCTTTGTTTTTTACTTTATGCTTTATTGCTTTTATTATATAGATTTTTTTTGAGTGGTCCATAAATGAAATTAACAAATGATTTAAAGCATCAATATAAGAAATTACTCCTATTTCAGAGATGTATTTAAAGTTTTCCCCAATTACTAAAAATGTTTTGGAATACATAAAACTGTTGATGAACAGGTCACTTCTCATTTAGAAAAAGATTTTTTTTGTAACAAATGACCCACAGTGCTGGTCACTTGTTACAAAAAGGTTACTCTTAAATTATTTTATATTATATTATTTCTTGTCAATTGTGTAAGATATAAAATAATGGTTACAATAACTTCATAAAAGTTTTAATAAAACTTAGTTATTATTGAACGTCTTAAATGTTTAAAAAAAACCATAGTAAATTAATTTAGCTTATTTAATATATGTAACTTCTATTATATAAATATACCATTAGGTTTACTGTAACTATAACTTTTATTTAAACCTTAAAGCAATGTGAAAATTATTAACCTTTAGTATAAGTTAAATGAACAGAGTAGCTTACATTTAAATCAAAATGAAAATTAAAAGTAATAGTAAATAGGCATATTAAATATTTATGATTTGATTCAAATAGTTAGTCTATATGAAATATTATATTATATATAAAAAATAATTGTTAGAATATATACATAATATATTATATTATATATAGATATATATTTTATTATACTACATATAGATATATATAGATATATTATTATATATAGACAATAATTATTCAAATACAAAAGTTAAGCTTTAAATGAGCATAATGATTTCAATTTTGCAAATTAAAATTCATTGCTATACACTGATTGTAAATATTTATCAAACTTTGTTTGTATTTTAAACATTTAAATACTACTAAAATTAAAACTAATAAAATATAGTTACTAAATGTTAAAAAAACTTTAAACAATTTTCAATAAATATTTACAAATAAGGAAGTATTTGCAACTTGAGCGTTTATTAAAATCTTAAATAAATTAGATTATTTATGGCGTAACTAAAGTAGCACATGTAAAGTAGCATTTATTTACATCCACCGCAAAATTCATTTGTTCAAATAAACTTTTACAACAAGAAGCTATTATAAAACAACTCATTATCTTTGGATAAAACTAAAAGGTGAACACAAACAAAGTGATATCTAAAAATCATTGCTACAGCACCGGTTTTAACTGGGAGGGGAAGGGAGGGGAGGCTACTAAAAGAACACACACTCTCTCCCTTCCCCCTCCAAACTGTCAAAAAAAAAGTTTGTCACTGATATATATATATATATATATATATATATATATATATAAATATATAAACCTAGCATGTTCTTCCTATCAACTCTAAATTCTATATGTATATACCTGTTGCTACATTTAAAAAAAAAATAGGCAATATAAAATATTGTGGATTCAGATTTAAATGAAAGTATTTACATGAAAGATATAATTCTATTTGTAAACACAACTCTGGTTTACTTTCCTGTTGAATATTTAAAGCTTTAAAAAAAAAGCTTTAAAAATTTAAAAAAAAATTAAACCTGTAAAATATTTGAAAAACAACTTTTATTCTATTGTAAAATAAACTATTGGTTTATAATTAAATTAATTTTTAAGAGGTTCAATTAGACAAACAACATTAAATACTTGTCTATTTTCTCCAAGCCCAATACCCCATCTGGCATTTCGCACTGCAAATGGTGCTTGACTCATACTCTCTGCTCCCCCAGCAAGAACTAAATCAGCATCTTCAAGTATAATTTCCTAAAAAATATTGTCTTATTAAATTAATCAATGAAAAAATAAAAATTAAGTAGCTTGATACATGAAAACTCAATTTTATACAAAATGCTTTTAAAAACAATAAAAAAGTATTACTATTACAATCAAAAACTACATATAAATTTAAGTTACTACCTGAGCTGCATTGACTACAGCCTGAAATCCGGAGCCACATAACCTATTCACTGTAAGAGCTGTAGAGGAAACTGGAGCACCAGCCTTTAAACCTACATGGCGTGCCAAGTAAGCAGCATCTGATGAACTCTATCAATTAAAATAAAATTCAAGATAACTATTTTTAGAAATTGATCACTAGAATTAAATTAAAAAAATTATAAAACTTTAATAGTACATTTTAAAAGTTAAAAAAATTACATATTTGTCTGCTGACAGTTAATTTACTGTGAAACTTGAATTTAGTGTTCAGAGATTTTTATATTTAACATTGAATAAATAATAATGAAATAATTTACATAAGTAAAGTTACTACTATTATAACATCATTTTTCTTGCTTCACCAAATTTGCCCATGTATCAAAATCTAGCATAAAAAGCTTATTTACAATCCTTAAGTTTACATATTTAAACCACTTTATACCTGGACATCTGCATCAGAATTACACACATTTATATTTCCTACTCAAATAAGAAAAACAAAACTTAAAAGGAATTCATCTTTGTATTCACTTTGTTAATCATAAATAATAAATCATAAAATAAAAAACAAAGATCAATCCAAAACACATAAAATATTGCTAAGCTTTACATAAAGATAGGCATAAAAGCTAAGACCCTAACCCAAACAGAAACAACATTAACAGTGATAGAACTTTCAATATTATCAAAATGTAATAAGCAATTTTCAGGGTTGGTACCCAAAATCCAAACAGAAAAAACCCAACTTAACGGTTCCAAAATTTTTATTTTTTATTTTTTCATTTATAAATCAATTTCCTTCAACACTCAAGATATGATGCTGCTCAATAACTATTATAATGATAATAAAATAAGGAGTTTAGTGAGTCATAAATGAGAATTTTATTTTACTTGGAACAGTAATATTTAAACTTAAAAATTTTAAACAAAGTCATCAACAAGTTAGTCATCAGCAAATGTGCATCTTGAGCTTATATGTAAATTTGTACATGCATTTCAGCTTTTTCTCTTACTAAATAATTCCTAACTTTATTCCAAATAATGTGAAAGGATGAGAAAAATCCTTTAATGGATTATCAAAAAACTTTAAAAAAATTTCCAGGCAATCCGGAAAACTTAAATTCCTTTATTTCTATAAATTTCCACTAATTTATTGCTGATGTTGTGCATTTTACAATATCATTGAATGAATATATTGGGAAACAATTACCATCTTTTAGTTTAAATGCATTGTAGCCAGGCATATTCTTGGTATAGACTTCATTCAACCATTCCTCAACCTCTTCTTGTTGATGTTCTTTCCAAGTAAATAAGTAAAGTTATAAGAGAAGTAATTTTAAACAAAAATTTTTCAGCTGTATTTAATTTAATTTGATCACACGCAATTTTCTACAAATTGCAAATTCTTGCAACTTGCAAATCCAGTTCATCTTTCTGATTACTTAATAATATGGTTACTTCACTCTAGCCTTATTACTTCCACCCTGAATGATACTTTGCCATTTTTAAGAACTACTACTTGGAGTACTCTATTCTACTTACTCTACTTGGATTTTAAATAAAACTAAAATTTTAAATTGATAATTCTATTACAAAATAGCTTTATATCAGAAAAAAATGCAATTTAGTTATTAACTAATATATTTATATATTACTTAATATATATAAATATATATATATAATATATATATATATATATATATATATATATATATATCGCCAAAAGAGGGCGAACTTATTACTGAAAATACCACTTAACATACGTTACACAGAAAAAAACTTAAAAAATTGCTTCAACTTTAAGGTCAGATTTCTACGAATCAGTAAAGCAGTTTGTATTAGAAACTTTTAGAAGATGTTAAGAAATCTGTGCCAATTTAAAAAATATATAAAATTTTATCAAAAGTGACCGACTAAAAAAATAAAGTGGTTTTTTTGATACTATGTATTTAACGTTACATCACTTACATTACCAAGCGAAATTTATCGTGGATTTAAAAGTATTGAACTTATTCATTAAAACTAATTAACAAAAGAAATTTTTAAAAAATGGTGGAACTCTTTCTTAGTGATTTTTCATAAAATTTTTTAAAGTTATCAAATCAAAAACGGTTTTTACGCAAGACCAGGAGCAACTTTAAAAAACTGTTTTAGTATTACAACTTTATTAATACTTATTTGAGTTGTTTAAATAAGAAAATCTTTGGTTTGTCGAAGTTTTTACTTATACTCCTTACATTTAAATCTTTTAAAATCTTTTTGACAGAAAAACTGCTATTACAGTTTAGGAGGGACAAGGGTTTAGGTATATGTGATCTTTTGTGACAGTAGGGAAGGGGTTAAGAATTGACAAATATAGGGTGACATGCTTTATGGATCACCCATAATTGCATTTACAAACGTTTGTTTTACTAAAACAAAAACAAAAAAGATTCTAACTGATTTTTATTATATTAGGAGAATAGCAAATCTGTTTTTTAATGTTTAAATACAAATATTTATATAATTCTTATTTTTATTAATATATGTTTAATTATTAATTATGTTTATTTATGTCAACTAAAATAAGAATACATGAACAAATAAAAAAGCAATATTATAAATAATTTTAATTAACATTAAAAAAAATGAAAGATTTTATTATTAATTCACCTAATATAAAAATTTTCAGTTAGAACTTTGTCAACGAAATAATAATTACTTAATGAGGTAATTCATTTTGATAACGAAAAAGCATCAGAACTTTAGTAAATGCATCAGGCCTTGTTTTAAAGCATTACGCCTAGAGCGATTTACGTACCTCTTTAGCGATTTTTACGTTAAGCTACTTTTTATCATTTTTTAACTTTTAATTTAGCTGTAACATAAAAAAAATAATTAATTTTTAAAAAAACCACATTAACTTTTGAATAACAATAGGTAAAAATATTTGTTACTGAAAAAATAGTTACGTTAAAAAGTAATTTTAGTAACTTTTAATTGCGATATATCTTACTTTTTTATAGCAATTAATTTTACACTTAACTTTTTATATCTAGCAACATGAAAAATTGTTTATCATTCCTTAACTACATTTTTTTTTGAAAATGCTTTTATAAAAAGTAGTAATTATTTTAAAGTTTTCAGTAAGAAACTTTAAAAAAATCTTTGTTCCAAATTTATTTATACAGATTATAAATGTTTTTTGTAATATAGATTTTTTTAAGAGTTTTTTACTGAATTTTTATGAAAAACATTTGCAAAAAATTTGTAGTTAAAGATTGACATTTTTTTAATATCTCAAAAAAATGTCAATATTTTTGTTATCATGATAACAAAAATATTAAGTCATTTTTTTGAGATAATAAAAAAAATGTGCCAATTAATAAACAATCTATTTGTATTGTATTAAAAATTACTTTTTCATTAATTATTACTCTTTGCTTTTCCTTATAGTTAAAGGTATATAGATACCTTTACCTCTAAGTTATGCAGGGGGAGGGGACCAGCACAAACGAAAAAAAAAAACTACCTGTTACTCGCAATTTTTGAATGTCAATACGTTATATTTCTTCTGTGTGCAATTCAATAAATTTTTTTTTTCATATATCAAATTATATTATTAGGTAAAGAAATCACAAGTAGACTATAACATCTGCTGATGATACTTATATTATGTTGAATTTATTTATATAACAAAGGTTTCATTATGCACGCACACATTACAGGCATGTTTTAGTTTAATGACAGTCTCTATTCTTTACAAATGACTATGTATTTTTCTATATAAAATAAGTATATAAAAATAAGTATATAAAATAAGTATACAAACCAGTATATAAAAACCTAGTATATTTCTATTCTCTCCAAATTGTTTGAAGTTCGAATATGGATTGTATTTTAAAAGATTTACTTTGAAAACTTTTAAATCCTGGGACTTTGCAGATGCTTTTCGAATTGAAACTATCACAGAAAAAGAGAAGACTTACGTTATTAAAATCAAATGTATGTTATGTGATCTTCATCAAAATAAATTATTATCCAAAACCAATGGTTCCGTAAGGGCAGCTGCTCTACGGTTTATAAATGACACAAGTCATGTTAAAATATTTTAACATGTTATTATATTTCATTTAAGTTGGTATATAAATAAAAATAAAAATATTGTTTAATAATTAAATTAAATTTGTTCTTAGCAAAGATTACCTTAAACTTCTTCTTTTTTTATTTTATTATTCCAAAATAAACTGCTTACAAAAAAAAAAAAAAAAAAAAAAAGAGTTTTGTAATTATACGTAGAATGAAAATACTTTTGAGTTTGTTTATAAGTTAAGGAACTTAATTTTTAATGAACAAATTTTAACGAACGTTTATTATGAACAGATATGTTTCAAATTATTAAATATACTTATATTGTTTTAGCTGAGTATTTTTTTAAGTTTGCACGATTAAAGTATTGCATAGAAGTATTTAAAAAGTTATTTGTTTTTAACAAAAAACAAAAAAACTTTTTAAATAACAAAAGAGTTTACACAATTAAGACATTTATATTTATTTTAATTTATTTTTTTTTAATTTCTTAAAATTTGAAAAAAAAAAAAAAATTTAACTGTTAAAAACTATTGTTCTCTAGAGCTTTGTGATTTGTTTAAAAAGTAAATACATATGAAACATTTAAAAAAAATGCTTTCTAAAATATAGAGTTTATTTAGACACCATTTTTTTAGACATCATATAATTTATTTAATTGAATTGTTCAACTTACCTGAATGACATTGCCAAAAATAACAGATTGTATATGTACTGGATCTAAATTAACTGAAACCAATGCAGCAGTAGAAGATTTCTCAGCAAGAACGGTGGCAGATATATCTTTAAAAGCTCCTCCAAATGCCCCAAATGGTGTTCTTTTTGCTGCTACAATGTAAACAGAGCGAGCCAATGAAGACATTATAAGCAAGTTATTTTACTGGTTCTGTCTAAAAAGTATGTAAGACATTTTCTTAAATATAAAACTGATATACAATAGAAAATAAAGATAAAACAAACTATTTATATTAACAATTGATCACAACTATATTTTCAAAAATTTGAATATATTTAAAGTATTATTCAAATAAGATTCAAAAAAACATTAGGAATATGACAATATTTGATTGAAAGTGGTGGTGTTCCTAATTTAAAACATTTACAATAGCATAATTTTAGTTTGTAGATGGTGTTATCTTAAATTTTAATTGCAGGAAATGGTCTACTTTTGTATTTCAAAATTATTCCCCAATCCAGATTTTAAAATATGGGTGGTGATAGATTGCATTTGTTAGTTGAATTTTACAAACCAAATCAAAAGCAAATTAGTGTTATATACATATATATTTAAAAAATAGAACCTTAAAAGATAAATATTCTTTGTGTGATTTGATAACTTTATTTTAAAACATAATTACTCTTGATAAGTGTAATCATTTTTAAATTTAAATATTCTTTAAAGTGTAAAGATTTTATTTTCAAAAAAAAAATTATTAAAAAAAATGGATTTATATTCAACTAGCTTCTCAAGATCAATATTACCAGATTTTTAAAATTTAATTTTGATATTTATTTGTTTTTTTTTTGTTGTTGTTTTTTTTAATGTGCTTGGTATAAAAACTACATAAGTAATCCCCTAATGTTTTTTACTTACATTTCAAAACATTTCTTTGTCAACTCTTTTGTTTGAGGGGTTTTTTATTGAAAAAAGATTTTTCACTAAATTATGCTTAGTTTTTTATTCAAGTTTTATTAATATAATATTAAACTTTTTATAGAAAATTTACTTTTTATATTGTAATAATTTACAAAAAAGAACATATGAGGTGTTTATTTCTAACAAAAATTTTTCTTTTTAAAAACAAACCTATATAATGCAAATTATACTTTGTCTACTTCATGAAATTTGATAAAGTAATTTGATGACACATACAAATAAACTTGAGATTTTGAGCAAATGAAATGAGAACGACTTTGCATCCGTCTTATGTGAATTGCAATACATTGATACTATTTTCTGCTTTTGAGTTTGAAACATATAGATTGAGTGATGTCTGCCTTAACATGTCTGCCTTGTCAACTCTTCTCATACAGCAGTTGTAAATCTCTACAATAGCCGGTCAAGGAACTGGTATTTCTTTTCGTTCTTTCTATAAAAGTGGTTAGCATTTGACACTGGTTCTTTTCCATGTACAAATGACTAATCCTTCACTGTGAACCCATTCATGGTGCAATTCCCATTTTTACACATTGTGGATTCATTTAGTAGTGTTCAACCTCAAGAACGATCTTGTCGGAGAGTACCAACAGCAAATATACTGAATGAAATTAAATGAGTAGTTAGAAGAACAACATTCTCAATTTCACCAAATTTTAAGTTTTTTGGTGGACTTTTTGCATCTATTCTATCAACAACCTCGAATTCATACAAATAGCCAGATAATGCAGCCTACACCACAGCTTATAACCTAATTTTACAGGATTTTTAAGCATATACATTTTAGCACCATAGTGACCTTTGAATGATATCAATATTTCATTATAGTTTAACACGTTTTAGTAGTTACTCTTTGGGCACACTTTTAAACTGGTCAGTTATTGGTTGAATCTTGTATAACTTATTATAATTTAGGGAAGTTACAGGAAAAGCAGTACTATTGTCATTGAAATGAAGGATTGGTAACATTTAGCGTGCCATAAGTTCCTTAATTGTACATAAATGCACAAAATCTTTAAAATTAAATATTTTTTTTTAGACAAAAGTGACAGTCTGACAAAAGATTCATAAAACATTAAAAGAACCTTTTCACAACACTTTTCAGAAGTTATTTTTTATCTATTTGAGACCTCCTTTTGATGGTAATAACTTTATTGTGGTTGTAATTATGGTTAACTATATATTTCAATGTTAAGTTGCATTCAATGATATATATTTAACATATTATATATCATATATCATTTGTTGCATTTGTTTTATTTGCATACTTAATCTACTGTTCCCCGTTTAAGTTATTTGAGTCATACTCGTAGTTTTTTTATTAGAATGGTTGTATTTATATATAAAATCCATAAATAAACTAATAAACTTGTAATTATATAATATAAAAAAAATTATAAATAGAGTAAATTTTGGCGAAAAATACACAATATTTTTAATAGACAACTTTAGTGTAAACAAGGCCGGCGCGATGGGGGGTGTGGGTGCTTCCTCCAGACATGGAGCAAACTCTAAACATTAATTCAAATAAGGATGCTTTGCAAAAAATTGCGATGATTGGAGCCTGGGAACAAAAAAGCCCCAAACTTTTTGCCCCCACCCTGCCCCAAACGTGAGAGCAACAAGTTGATAAAATATTATTTGTATTATTTTCAACTAGACTTATATTCATCGATAAATTTAAAATTTCATAGTAAAATATTTTAGCGTTCAAAAATTATAACCATAAAAAGTTTAAACCTCCCTCAATTTGAGAGGTTTACAAATTTTATATTGTCATAATTTTTGAACGCTCAGAGATAATACTATGAAACTTAAAATTTATTGATGAATATAAGTCTAGTTAAAAATAGTACCAAAAATACTTCATCAACTTGTTGCTCTCACGTTTGGGGCAGATGGGGCAAAAAATAGGGCAAAATTTTTTTTGCAAATCATCCTTATTTGACATAAGTATAAACATATAAATGTTTGGAATATGATCCATATCTGGAAACTCAAAGACCAAAAAATTGAATTGGCGCCTCTGGTTATAACTTTTTTTTATTGCAAAAAGTAGCAAAATATTTATGAGGCATGGCTATTTACATACATTTAGCATGAGATTTACATAATCAAATGTTTGGATAATATTGGAGAATAGTTTATCTGATACCTAATAGTGAAGGTTAGTAGCAAAAAAAATATTGAAAACTGTCTGTTTTCGATGCATAAAAACTAAGGATTACACTTACGTAAAATTGCTTTTAAAAGTCTGAGCGAAAAAAGAATTGTTAATTAAAATAATACAATTTAAAATGAAAGTTAATAAAGTTAATTTAAAAGAATAGTACCGTAAGAAAGTTGATAAATAAAAAATGCAAAATAGCGTTTTGGAACACATGCCAAATTCACGTGTAAATAACCGCATAAAATAACGCTTAAATTAATATTTAATGTTTTTTTAACTAGATATTTCCTATAACAAACATTTCTTCACAATTCTAACAAATTTTCACCGCGCAATGCCAACATTGATTTTTTGGTATTTTGGCACACAATGTCCCACTGTGTTGCGGGATAAACACTCGTAGAAAAAAACGTTAATAGGGTAGACCGGGGCAAATTAGCCCTAAAGGCAGGTTGGCTCTAAGGGCAGGTTGGCCGTGTCGAGTTTATTCAAAGAATATGCACTTTAGCAATCTGGAAATCTAGGTGAAGATTGGAAGTAATTCAACCCAAAAAAAATATTATTTTATATTGGATCATAGTTAGAAAAGTGGGGTCATTTTAACAATTTTTGTATATCAAAGTAACTTTTGAGACGTTTGCTTGACGTTAATATGTTAACTGGTGTTCAACAGTAATGCACTATCCAAGTTCTAAATTTAAAACTTACAGTTTAAGGATTATTTAGTATATAATTTTAAATAATATTGGTTAATGGTTGAAATAATAACACCTCCTAACTTTTACCTATCATTTGTCAGAAAATAATTCAGAATTGTTGCGTTATTATTTATTATTTTAAAATTTCTATTGTATTGGTTTAGTGGCATACTATAGATATTAGGTCATAATAAGTTCATAATGTTTTTAAATGATTCATAACATTCTTCCAATCAATAAAGTTTGTTCTCCGGTTTTGTTGAGATCTATTGAAAGATGACTAATTTGCACTTGTGGGAGAGTTTCAATATTAGATTCTGGATCAAGCAAATTTTCTTCTATAGAGTATATTTGATTCTGACTGCGGACAAAATGGTTCATCCTTGTAACACCTGGATGATAGAGAGCATTTGAAGTTCTGCTGAATTTACTTTTTTATTGCTTATACATGAACAAATGGAGGTAATGCTTTCATTTTTTGACAACTTTTGAATCACTAAAGCAGAACATGAGGAACGTGTTAAGTAATCGGCAGCTTGATTATACTTACCTGGTCAATACTATATGTCACAGCAGTAGCAAACAAGTTCGGCCATTGCATTATTTTATCGTTTTTTTAATTTATTTTGTCATTATGGTTCTGAATGAACATAGACAAAACAGCCTGTTGGTCGGTCACTAAATTAAAGTGGCGCCCGGTTAAGTAGTGCTTCCACCTTTAAAGGACTTCCACATTTAGTTTATGCTTCTTATTCGATTGCTGATTGGTATATTTTGTGTGTTTGTTTAAATAATTTAAAAAGAAGGCCACTGGCTTTCTATTTTGGTTTGATGTTGCAGCTAACAAAAATAGGATGCATTTGTTTCAACAGCAAGTGAAACTGTTTCATCAATTGTTTGTACTACAGAGTTCGCATCATCGCTTTTTAATAACTTGTCTAGCCTTTGTAGTTTGTTGATTGAGTGGGAATGTTGAACGCTTTAATAACGGGTTTACTTTTTCAGAGTAGTTACAGATAAAATTTGAATAATAGGAAAAGAAATCTACAATTCTTTGTAATGCTTTACTATTTCGCGTTGCTGGCAAATTAAGTAGGGATTCCAACCTTTCTGGGACTGTCTTTATGCTATTATGAGATACGACATATCTAATAAGGTTCATTGAACTAACTGAGATTACACTTTTATTGCTGTTAAAAGAAAACTTATTTTCCTTGGCTGTTTTGTAGAAATTCTTTGAATTTAAAGTCGTGTTCAGCTTTAGTCATACCCGCTACCGTAGTATTATAAATACACATAGGTTTTTTTCCCATTTATAAATTTCCATTGTTTCCATTTATAAATTCCCATGAGTTCCCATTTATAATTTCGTCAAT